GCCCTAACATGGCTTGGGATCAACATACCTGAAGGACCACCTACTCCCCTATGAACGTACCTGACCACTACAGTCCTCTTCTGAGATTAGGCAGGTGGCATCCTATTACAGGGCCTTCTCAGTCGTGGCACAAGAACTCTGGAACTCTCTGCTTTTATCATGTATGTTTTTAATCTGTTAATTGCCCCGGTGGTCCTGATGGGGGCAGAAAGGTGGGGTACAAATTTGTGAAATAAAGTTTGTTTGTTGAGACAGCAGAATATTCTGTCATTCTTCAGGAAATAAAAATCGTACAATGCCAGGAGGGCTGTAAATTGGTTGACTATCCTTACTAAGCAAAGATTTATCAGTGAATCCAAATCACGGCATCTGCAGAAGGAAAAAAACAAACCAGTTCTGTAAGGCCTAGTAAACACAGGAACTGCTGCCCATAGTGCCACCTCGGGAAGATCATCCAGCATGGTTCCGTCAGAAGGCCATAGAGGCAGCTGCTGTTCAGTGATGATAAGGATCCCATATTGTGCAGTTCCTAAAGTATACTTATGCTATACTACTGTGAAAGGACACAAATAATATGGCAACCTTCCCCCCTTTCCAAGCTGCTGTTTGACCTGAGGGAAAACTCCACCCGACATTTCACAAGCTATGTAAAACAAAGTTGTTCTATATCATAATACGTTTTGCTTTGTTTTAGGTTATTGTAATCCTAATTATTTACTAGATATCTCATCCTATTGATTGCATTGACTTACACCATGTAATGAATATCAATGGAAAAGCTTGATTATAGGGATGGGCGTTTGGCTAAATCCGAGCCCCCCCCCCAAATACCTTATCAGTATTTTCCAGCTATTCTTTCAGCTGGGTATAGATTTGGCCATTTTCTGATATCCAAAATGACTGGTCCCTGAAAATATTTGGGATTTTTCAGGATGGGGGCACCTTCTTTGGAGGCCCACAGAATTAGACCCTCTGGTCCAATCTTTTTTAAATGGGTGGGGGGTTTGAGGAGAGGCATCAGCAGGTATGCTGCAAATTTGGTGCCTCTATCTCCAAAACAGCCCCCCCCCCGAGCCCCAGATACCCCTGGATTTATTCTCCATTATACCCTATGGGGACCATTGGCTATAATGGTTCCCATAGGTTATAATGGAGCAAAAAAAAAAAAATCAGGAATCCTCCAAACTATTTATCGAATCTGAATACCATACTTGTACTGGGATTCGGGAATATCAGGAAATACCAATTTTTTGGTTCAATATGCCTCAAGTAAAAAAATACCATTTTTTTTGCATGCCCCTAGTTGATTATAACTAAAGTAAATAAATAAAATCCTTTCTCTCCTGCGTGACTTCTAGTTTAGTCCACTAAATCAACAGTAGATTTACTGTGGGCTTTCAAACTGACTGTGAAACACAGCTGAAATCTTAGTATGGATTTATATTCTCAATAAGACCCTCATTCTGCCATAAAGTTGGCTTCCTGAAATCTCACAGTTCTCACTGGGCTGAAGACTTGAACTCCCATACAAATCCTCTATTATCATTCAGGAGCTGAATTTTACGAAAACTACATTAACATTTTCTCAAGAAGTGCCAGAAAATGAATGGCATCATTAAAGACTCCAGAGGATTAACTGAAGCATTTAAAGGTTGGGAATGAGGCAAAGCAAATCTTGTAATAAGAAGGTGAGAAAGTTAAACCTTCCCTAATTCCTTAGGTTTGACAATGCACGGTGCCCCCGAATCCCCAGATACTGACAGGTTTGTTATTGTAGCTAATATTAACAATTATCCAGCAGAAGAAAGATTTATTGTGTTACTTTTGTGCTCGCTGGCGCCAGACTTATGTTCTAAATCCAGAAACAAGATAAAATTTCTCCCTACAGAAGTGCCTGAGAAAAGGTGGAGCTGTGACTCACACTGGAGTCAGTTTACTGTGATTATGCCAGGTAAATACATATTCAGTGCAAAAACCTGTCCTTTGACGGCTGATGAATCACGTTTGTAATACCTGATGGGCTCTCCCAGTTTTTTCTTTTCTTTTCCAGAATAATTATTCTGTTCAACAAAAAGCTGGAAGCTACCAGGTGATCCCCACAAAAGTACGACAGAATGTAGAGCAGTTTCTTGGCCATGTAGCTGGTGCCAAGCATGTTTATTGTTATTTCCCCCCCTACTACCACAAGGATCACATCTTTGCCTAGAAGGAACTCTGTGATGGAGTCTCTTGTGACAAAATTCCAATTAGTTTCATATGCTGAGTTTAGTGTGATGCTTCAGGTCATCTATAGATACCATGTACTCTGTTGCTCTTCATCCTGAGCTGATAGGATAGGGGCAAGATGGAAAGTGATACATGGAAGTACAACAGAGGATCTTTGTCACACTCTTGCAAAAAATTAACCCCCCCACAAATGTACTAGTTATGACATTGCCTATGTTTGCTTCCTGTAAAAAGGCTAAAAAAGGGAGTTTGCTGGTTCCCGGTTTTGAGAGGCCCTGGACAAACAGTGCCCCAGGGGCTTCGTCTGCTAACCACCAGGCGCCCTCTCATACCTTTCCACCCTCCACCAGTATGCCCCCTCTTCTGCCACTCATAAGCCCTTGCACTGTCCATGCTCAGTTGCCTATACCACTTGCACGCATTTTCCCCAACAGTACTGGCTGGTGCATGCATCTGGGAGTGCTGCTGCCGTGGCAACCAGCAGCATTGCCACTGTGTATCACATACCTTTCCCCAATGATGTTTGGCAACTAGGAACAAGGGGGCAGAGCACTCCAAGCAAACAGGTGAGGAAGGGTATGCAGACAGGTGGTGGAGGAAGTGTGTGGGTGGAGGTCTGCAGCAGCGGGCCCTACGAGGAGCTCTGGGCTTTGGCAGCTGTCTCACCTCAGGATATGGTAAGGCTGGTCCTGGCTGGTGCTAACCTTGGACCCAATGGGGAGAGTAAATGGCTTGTAGCTCAGCCTAATAAAATCCCCTCCCGTGTTATTTGTTTCAAGACTCAGTGCTGTCTGAGCACACTCCAGCCATCCTTACGCCTCAGCCTGACTGGGTCTCAAAAGAGGCAGGCTTCTCTTGCACCTCGGACATACTCACCCAAAGAGTAATTATTAACATGTGGAATTCCCTGCCACAGGAAGTGGTGGTGGCTGCAGGCACAGACAGTGTCAAGAGGGGATTAGATAAACATATGGAGCAGAGTTCCATCAGTGGTTATTAGCCGCAAGGTATAGACAGGAACTCTGGGACAATGATGCTTGATGCTTGGGGAGGGCAATAGTGGGAGGGCTTTGATGCTCTATATTGTTGGTGCTTGGGGAGGGCAACGGTGGGAGGGCTTCTAGTGTCCTGGCCCCGCTGGTGGACCTCCTGATGGCAACAGTTTTTTGGTCACTGTGTGACACAAGAGTGTTGGACTGGATGGGCCACTGACCTGATCCAACGTGGCTTCTCTTATGTTCTTATGTCCACTTGTGCACTTCCTTTGAACTTAACACCCCCTTCCCAATTGCTTTAAATGGATGGATGAAAGAACCTTAGGGCCTCTAGGAAGAGCATATGGTTTAAATTTGCCTTTAACTAATGTCTTAATTTGAAAGTAAAGATGCAATGTAATATAAGGGAAGTCACAGACATACTGAGCTGCTGTTGTTTGCACAATTTCAAAAATAAAAGACACAATGATCTGAAATGATAAATTAGGCAACTCCTTTTAGGTCTTTTCAATACTCAAGATTTTTCTTGTTAAATTTTCACATTTGGACTTCTATTACGTCATCTGAACACTTCATTTTAACAATTCTTTTTTATGCAAATATTAATAAGTGTCATAATACTGAAAAATGTGTTAATAGCACCTGGAAGTGGTTTTCCATTACTCATCAGATTATAAGCCTGCAAGCATTCCTTTAGACACTGAGGGGAATGACAGAACTAGGGAGAAACTTTAGATCACAAAAATTATGTTTTAATGTCAACACCATTACAAATAACAGTACAAAATGAAATGCTTTTTTGTGTCAGGTTAGTGAACATGGTTAGCCATTTTATTCTATGATTCTGAATATACAGACAAGTCAAAGAACAGTTAATTTTCCTAATATATACCAATAATGTTTTAAAATTCAGGCATTTGCTGCTTGTTACTAAGTAGTTAAACATTTACTAAAATTTAATATTCATTCAAAAAATTCATTCATCCATTCATTCAACTCCCTTTGTTGCTGAGATTGCAGGCAACTTCATTGTGAGATCAAAATATTTCCCATACTTCTTATCTCATTTGTCAACATGCCAGTGATGCCCATTTCAAATGCAGACAATCCACACATTTCAGGTAAGGACAGAAGTCTATTCTTGCAAAAATACATTCCTCAAATCTCAGGATGTGTCATATTGAATTACATGGATGGAATTAAGGCTCCTCCACGGCAACTACTGGAACACCATGGAGTTCTAAAAGCTATATGGACAAATTTTTGAAAAAAGATTTTATTGTATACTTTGAAACTAACTTCCAGTTTGCTTTTTTACTCAAATTAAAAATGTCACCTTGTGTCCAGAAATAGATCAGTAAGCATCATAATAACCCAATGCTACCTGTGCGAACTTTAGCATTTCTTGTTTAAGTGAAGGTTATGTCCCATAACTTTCAGCCTCCTTCCCCCAAAACATTACCTCTGCAATAAGTTGTGCAATTTCCCTTAATAGTTTGAAAATACAGGTTTGATTGACCCAAATGAGTAGACAGACAAAACTCAACTGGGTGGTTATTGGTGGGCTGAAACCACACAATCTAAAGGATCACATTTCCACTCTGCAAGCATTGACATTTCCATCCAACAAGCACTGGAGCTCAATGCCAAAAAAAGTAAAATAAAAATTAATCTCCTGAAAAACTAGCATGGAAAGGCTCCAATAATCTTTTGCTTTTATTGACACATGTGCCATAACACCTTTACAGTTTTCTCACATAGCTGATAGACACCTCAGGCTCTCAGGATATTTAAAGATGCTCATATTTGTGGAGAAGGAACTGTCAGCAGGCCCGTCGGCTTGAGCTTGTTTATGCCGCCATCTAAAATGCAAACCCTTGGATATTTGATTTTCACGAGATGGGCTGCGAACTGAAGCAGAAAGACTTGGCATCAGAAGGCTGTGTAGCATTCATGTATTTACACAAATTCTTTCCAGAGTTAAGCAAACAGATGTGAGATGAGAGCCAGTTTGGTGTAGTGATTAAGTGCGTGGACTCTAATCTGGGAGAACCGGGTTTGATTCTCCACTCCTCCACTTGCACCTGGCTAGATGACCTTGAGCAAGCCATAGTTCTGATAAGAGCTGTCCTTGAAAAAGACAGTCATAGTTCACGACTGAACCACAGACTGAACCATGAACCCAACTGCACAGATATGACAGTCCTGAACTGAAATGTTTGTATAGGTTTGTGGGCCATTTAAACTTTAAAACCCTGCTTTCTGCTCCCAGCGAAAGCAAGGGGAGCAAAAAGTAGGGTTTTGGCTCGGACCCATTTAAATCTTCCAGTTCTGCTCCCCAACCCTTTGAAATGGGGGGGAGCAAAACCCGAGGGTTAAATACGGTGTGCCTCCTGAGGGCATTTCACCTCCTCCTTTCTGTTGGGCATAACTTTCCCGAACCATCAAAAAAGAAGGGGTGAAGTGCCTCCCACAGCGAGCAAAAAGGAGAGGGTGAAATGCCCCCTGGAAGGAACCTCACACCTTCTTTTCTGCTGGCCTAGCTATCTCGGGGCTGTGCCAGGCACCCTGAAGCATGTGAGCAAGTGGGGACAGACTTCTGCACTGGCTCAGCTGCCTCTGGCTCCCTGGCATAGTTCCTTTAAATGGGCTGTGCAAGTGAGCCCAAAGACAGCTGGGCTGGCTTGGAGAAGGCTCTCCCTACCAGCCCTTTCTACCGTTCCTAAAGTCTATCCTGATTATCAATACATAAGTAGCCTGAATGAAAGTGAAAGACAGTCACTTTCTAGAGCATTTAGAAACAGCAAAATACTCTATGCTTCCACCCCAGAACCAATGACAAGGACAGCTAAATTAAAATGGGAAAAGGTCAATAAACACAAAATGAGACCCACACAGACCCAAACTCTGGAACTTTCTCCACAGGTCTGTCTCCTTCTGTGCCCATCTTCTGCCAGCAGATAAAGATTCTTTTGTTTTGTGTTCCCTCAGCGATCCCACCGTTCTACCCAGTGTTTTAATTACTGTTTTTACATATTTGTATGTAATTTAGCTCTGTTTTGAATTGTTTTAATGATTGGTTTTTGGTTGCTTTTAAGCTTTTTAAAATGTGATTTGGGGAGAGGCCATGAATCAATGGTAAAGCTTATGCTTGACATGCAGAAGGTCTCAGGTTCAACCCCTGGCACCTCCAGTTAAAAGAACCAGGCACTAGGTTTGACACGGGTAGACCAAGGGTCTAAGGAAAGCTTCTGTATATATGTGTGCATGTATACTTTTCACACTTTATGTGTTTGCTGCAGAAAACACTGGTTAACTGTAGGGTTTCCACAGCATTTGTAATGTCTTTAAAGGAGCAAGACTTATCACTGTGTGCAGGTAAGAAAGCAGGAAATGATGGACATTGAAACGAACTTCAAATATATGCTCCCTCTAAGCTGTGGAGTCTTGTGAGCAAAAATTCTACTTTGTGAGCTACTGGCATTAAAATTGTGAGTGAGCAATTTGGCTACTGCATAGATTAGTTTGCTCCACAGCCATCCTTCCTGAGCTAAGACAAAAATGTGTGAGCCAGAGGCTAAAAAACTATGAGCTAGCTCACACTAACTCAGCTTAGAGGGAACACTGTATACTAGTAGGATCTGAACTGGCTGTAACCATGCACGAAACAGATCTTGGGGTCGGGGCAGACAGACCACTGAAATACCAAGGCAAAATGCAGAAGCAGGAAAAAAATTAAAAATTGCCTTTTAAGAATTATTAGGAGAAGGACTGGAAGAAAAATAGCCAATATCACAATACCCTTTATTAGGAAATGCTGCTCTTGCAAGTCCCAAAGATCCAGTTTCCTGTACCCTTGAGTTACTTACTTCTTTCTGGGTACTTCCTCTGCCACCTGTCTAGTTTAATAGACTAGCCCGTCAGCACTCTTTGCCATGGCACTGCCTAAAGGCTCTGACTTGTTGCATTGCTGTCCACTTGGCACTCACCAAGCACTGTGGGGACTTGCACAACTGTGCAGTCCATGATACAGCTGCCCCCCACCCCCATGTCTCCTGAATAACTGTGACAGAATTCGTCATGGCATGGATGCACAGATCAGATTACTGACACTTAATTTAGACAGAAGTTTAATAACGTCATCAAAGCTCACACATGGCCGGGCTATTTACACAGCAAACTGAGCAAAAATCAGTAGGATCTGAACTGGCTGTAACCATGCATGAAACAGATCTTGGGGTCGGGGCAGACAGACCACTGAAATACCAAGGCAAAATGCAGAAGCAGGAAAAAAATTAAAAATTGCCTTTTAAGAATTATTAGGAGAAGGACTGGAAGAAAAATAGCCAATATCACAATACCCTTTATTAGGAAATGCTGCTCTTGCAAGTCACAAAGATCCAGTTTCCCGTACCCTTGAGTTACTTACTTCTTTCTGGGTACTTCCTCTGCCACCTGTCTAGTTTAACAGACTAGCCTGTCAGCACTCTTTGCCATGGCACTGCCTAAAGGCAGTGTTGCGTTGTTGCATTGCTGCCCACTTGGCACTCACCAAGCACTGTGGGAACTTGCACAACTGTGCACTCCAGGACATTTACAGCTGCCCCCCACCCCCATGTCTCCTGAATAACCGTGACAGAATTAGTCATGGCATGGATGCACAGATCAGACTACTGACTCTTAATTTAGACAGAAGTTTAATAACGTCATCAAAGCTCACACATGGCCTATTTACACAGCAAACTGAGCAAAAATCAAAAGTGATATAATTTCCAATCTCCTTTCCC